GCGCCTGTAGTTCCAGCTACTTGGAAGGCTGAGGCGGAAGGATCTCCGGAGCCCAGCAGGTCAAGGCTGCGGTGGCCAGGAGTGGCCACTGCACTCCAGTCTGGGGGACAGAATGAGACTCCAACCCCCCAAAAAAATTTTTTTTGATTTATTGTCTCACCATGAGGTCTCACCATGTTGCCCAGGATGGTCTTGAATCCCCAGGCGCAGGCAATCCTCTCACCTTGGCCTCCCAACGTACTGGGATTACAGGTTTGAGCCACCATGCCCAGTTGACTTTTTTTTTTGAATCAGATTCTCATTCTGTTGCCCAGGTTGGAGTGGAGTGGCACACTGCTCACAGCCACTGCAGCCTCAACCTGCTGGGCTCAGGTGGTCCTTCTGCCTCAGGCTTCCAAGCAGCTGGAACTAAAGACATGTGCCACCATGTCCAGCTAATTTTTTTTTTTTGAGTTGGAGTCTCACTTTGTCACCCAGGCTGGAGTGCAGTGGCACACCCATAGCTACCCCAGCATCGACCTGCTGGGCTCCAGCGATCCTTCTGCCTCAGCCTTCCAAGTAGCTGGAACTACAGGTGTGCGTTACCACACCTAGCTAATTTTTGATTTATTGTAGAGATGAGGTCTCTCCAAGTTGCCCGGCTTGTCTCATACCCGTGGGCTCAGGCAATCCACTCGCCTTGGCCTTCCAAAGTGCTTGGATTATAGGCTGAGCCACCGAGCCTGGCCTAATTTTTGATTTCTTGTAAAGATGAGGTCTCGCCATGTTGCCCAGGCTGGTCTCAAACCCACAGGCTCAGGCAATCCTCTGGCCTCTGCCTCCCAAAGTGCTGGAATTACAGGTGTGAGCCACTGCGCCTTGCCTACCCCATTTTAACTTGCAATTTTAACCTCCAGCCCCGCCCCACAGCCAGCCCTGCCCCCTGCTTCCTCTTTCTCCAGCACCCAGGTCACCTCCAGCATGCTCTGTGCTTTACTCCCCTGTGGCTTCCTGCTGCACGTGGGCCCTAGAAGGGCAAAGATCTTTGTTTCATTTATTGGCATCTCCTAAACATCTGCACAACGCTTGGCATCTGATGTGCAATAAATGTGTGTTAGATGAATGAATGATGATTGGAAGATAAATTAGGGGGACAAGAGGAGTTGAGATTAGAGAAGAGATGGAGCCAGCAAATGTGAAAGCCGCAAACGATTCTGACCATGCAAAGCACGGCAGGTGGGTGTGGATCTTAGCTTCTCAACTCTTCTCCAAAGTCTCTGGCCTGAGCCACCCTCACCAACTTGCCTGAAGTGCTCTGGGGTCTGGAGGGAATTGGAGGGAAGGGGGAGATGGGATGGGGAGCGGAGAGGGCAGGGCTTGGGAGGGGTCGGAGCTCTGCAGGGGAGCTATTTCTCTAGGGTTTCCCTGTTAATGAGGGCGCTGGATTTGGAGTCAATATTTCTTTTCTTTTCTTTCTTTTTTTTTTTTTTTGAGTGAGCAAGTCAGAGTTTATTAGGAGACAGGAAAGCTCTCGGCAGTGAGAGGGGACCTGAAAGTGGGTTGCCTTTTTTTTTTTTTAATTCAGAGTCTCACTCTGTGGCCCAAGCAGGAGTGCAGTGGCATGATCACTGCCACTGCAGCCTCTACCTGCTGGGCTCAGGTAATCCTTCCACCTCAGCCTTCCAAGTAGCTGGAAACACAGGTGAGTGCCACCACGCCTAGATAATTTTTGGATTTATTGTAGAGATGAGGTCTCACCAAGTTTCCCAGGCTGGTCTCAAACCGCTGGGCTCAGGGAATCCTCTCATTTCTGCCTCCCAAAGTGCTGGGATTGCAGGTGTGAGTCACCCCACCTGGCCCTGGAGCCAATATTTCAGGACCAATGTGATTAGTGAGGACTTTGATAATTGGACAGATGAATTCCCTATGATGCTGAGGACATGAAGGACATGGGGAGCGAGGAATGAGAAACTGGCTCCTGGGAGGAAGCTGCCATTTGAGGGGGGAAGGGGCTCTGAGTGGGCTGTGTAGGCTGGGGTGTGGGACGAAGTGCAAAATGCTACACGATTCATGATTTTCTCCATCCTGCCAGAGAAGGTACTTCCTGTTTTTCTCAGTCACCATTCTTTGTTTCTTTCGGAGAACTTACTGCAATCTGTTATTATCTTACTTATTTGGTTTATCAGCCTCTTCCAGACTGTAAACTCCAGGACAGCAGGGGTCTAGTTTCTCCTGTTCTCTGCTCTGGTCCGAGTCTAGCCCAATGAATGTTGTATATAGGGGTACTCAAGAAATGATCATCGAATGAATGAATGAACCCAGATGGAAGGAAGCATTCTGATAACAACACTTCCTGGCAGAGGAACTGGTGGAGGGGCTCGCCGGTTCTTCCTGGGTTATGTCTCTTGTTCTATGCGGTGTCATGGCCACTTAGCCCCCGAGACACTAGGAACGCCTGTCCCAGGTGCAGACCTCAGGTAGTAGTCTCTGTCCATTGTGCAGGCTGGGCGTGGTGGCTGTGGGGAGGAGGTTCCTGGGATTCCTTAGCTTAGACAGGATGAGTAAGAGAATGGACTAGAGACGGATTCACTTAAGTGGATCCAGGAGACCCCATTCGGTGTGGGGGAGGGGATGTTATACCACAATAACCTGAAAAAAGACAGGATGAGGTCTGGACTTGGAAAACAGCCGAAGGACTGAAGAGGAGACAGGGCATTTGAGAAATACTTGAGAGGTAAATTCGGCAGGGCTTGGTGATTGGGGGTTGAGGAGAAGGAGGGGGTGGGGCCACCAAGGACCATCCCGTGGATGGAAAGAATCAGTGTGATAGCCATCCCTTCTGGCCTGCAGTTTCCTCCAGTCCCAAGGCCCAGGATTAGCCACCGGACCCCGCTGCCGACCCAAAGTTCACCCCGGACCTAAGGCGACCGTCAGGAACACTCGTTCTGTGCTGCACTCGGAGGGACACGGTCCCTGAGCGCAAGGGGGGCGGGCCCGGTCTTGAGAGAGACACCCAGGTCAGTGCAGGACACAGGGTGGGGGACGCTCTGGGGCCGTGGGGATGGGGCCGGAGGAGTCGTCACAGGGGGACGCTGAGGCGGGAGCGTAACAACAGGTGTTCGCCAGGATGGCGAGAGGAGCGCAAAGCGAATCAGGCCTGGAGAAGAACGAGGAGACCAAGAACATGGAAGCTGTTCAGTGGCCGAGCTCGGGGGCATGAGCGCGCGGGCCAGGGTGCGACCCGCCAGGCCAGCGGCGCGCCGGGAGCCCACTGGCGTTTGCCTCGATCTCCTAGCAACCGGGAAAGCCACGACCTGCCCCAACCCGCGGACCACCCCGCACCGCATCTGCAACGTTGGCTGGTGCGACACCAGGGGAGGCCGCGGGAAAGCCGGGCGGCGGGAGCGGGGGAGGCGACGCCCCCAGCTGGGGACCCGCGAGGCGGCCAGCGGCGGCGGCGGGCAGAACCATTCTCGGGAGGTGGAGAGGGGAGGAGACATTCCTCACTTGGAACCCAGCACGGAGCCAGCTGGAGCCTGCGCCCGGCTCCTCTCCGCGCTCTCGCTTCCTTCTCGTCCTCTGTTCCGCCACCCCTGGCTGCCCCCTGCCCCCCCGATCCTGAGTCCCGGGCGCCACTAGTTGCTTCCTGGGCGCGCCCGTCCTCGCGCGTGGTACAGCCCGGCGCGTATAAGGCTCCGGCTGCGTGCGCGACTGCGGACCGGAGATGCGCCCGAAGGAACCGGGGCAGAGCTCCGCCGGGGACCGGCCTGGGCCCGATCCCGCGGACCCAGCAGCAGTCACCCCCGCACCCCCGCCCGCGGCCAGTCCCGCTCCGGCGCCCGAGCCTGCCCGCGCGCAGCGACCGGGGGCTGGACAGGGGGCAGGGTCCGGGGCAGCCTCCGCATCCCCACCGGTGGCGAAAGCCCCCACCGGCGCTCGCCCGGCCTCCGAGGCTGTCCAGGGGAATGCCCGGTCCGTGCCCGACAGCGCGGGCGCGCCGTGGACGCGCTTCATATTCCAAGGGTCCTTCGGTCCCCGGGCCACTGGCCTGGGGACTGGAAGGGCAGCGCGCATCTGGAAGACGCCGGCTGCCTACCTTGGCCGGCGGCCCGGGGTGTCTGGTCCAGAGCGTGCCACCTTCATTCGGGAGCTGGAGGAAGGTAACCTGGGTCCCGGGACCCTGCAGCGGGCGGGACTAGGGCAGATCTAGGGAGGGTCCAGGCGCTCCTCCTCACCTGGCACTCGCTGTCGCTCCTTCACTCCCCTGGGATGTCCCGGGTGACTGTCTAGTCGCCTCTTGTCCTCTCTCCTCTGCGGCCCCTGGTTTCTGCGGGCGCATCGGGCCCCCGGGTCCGCGCGCTCCCCGCCCCCTTTCCGCGTCTGTTGCTGCCGCAGATCCCAGTGCCCCCTCCCCTGCCTGCCGCAGTGCCAGGAGTGGGGCGGGGGCTGCGGGAGGGCGCTGGCCGGCCGGGCTCGCCCGCGAGGGAGAGGCTGGTGGGCGGAGGGGGAGGTTTTGCTTACTTTTTGTCTGCGGGGTCAAGGTCGCGATCTTCCCCTGCCCCAGCCTCTCTGGGGAGGGGGAGGTCCCTGGATTGGGTCGAGAGGCTCGAGTGCCCCCAGTCCGGTGCTGGAGAAGTCTTTTCCTCCAATCCTCGCCTCGCGCAACAGGTGCTGGGTGGGTGACTGCGTCTGTTTTTATGATCCACGAGGCTCCATCGAGCGGACTGAGCTACTCTCTGGGTGGGGGGTGATGAGTCAGTCTGCGGCTGTGCTTCTCCTGGCCGGCTCCATTCTCCTAGGTGCCAGGGACCCAGGCATCCCGAGAGCCCTGTGGACTGTGATTCCCCTAACTTCATCCAAGCCCTTCCAGAAACAAAATAAAAATGAGACTGGGCACGGTGGCTCAAGCCAGTAAATCCCAGCACTTTGGGAGACTGAGGTGAGAGGATTGCCTGAGCCCAGGGATTCGAGACCAACCTCGGACAAATTGGTGAGACCTCGTCTCTACTATATACATGTAAATTAGCCAGGTGCAGTAGTACGCGTCTGTAGTTCTGGCTACTTGGAAGGCTGAAGTGGAAGGGTCGCCTGAGCCCAGCAGAGCAGGTTGCCACCGCACTCCAGCCTGGGCGACAGAGTGAGACTCTGACTCAAAATAAATAAATATATAAATCAATAAAAATAAAGTGCAGTCCATTTGGCCCTGGGAGCAGGGAAGAGGAGTGTTGAGTGCTGGGGCGTGGGGAGCATGTTAGGGGCAGGAAGGGAGCCCTGTCTTGTCTCCTGGTGACCCCTGTTGTAGGAGGACTGGGGACAGGGCCGAAGCAGCAGGTTGCCAGTGGCGGTGATTCCTTTTTCTGACCTGGTGGGGTCTTTTCTCCCCACTCCCTCCTCCTGCAGCGCTGTGTCCTAACCTGCCTCCGCCAGTCAGGAAGATCACCCCGGAAGATATCAAAGTGATGTTATATTTGCTGGAGGAGGTGTGTACTGACCCAGGCAGGCACCTTTTAAATTCTGCCCATAGCCGGGCTCGGTGGCTCACTCAGCCTGTAATCCCACACCTTTGGGAGGCTGAGGTGAGTAGATTGCCTGAGTCCAGGGGTTTGAGACCCGCCTGGGCAACTTGGCGAGACCTCATCTCTACAATAAATCAAAATGAGCCGGGCGTGGTAGCGCGCGCCTGTAGTTCCAGCTACTTGGAAGGCTGAGGTGGAAGGATCGCCGGAGCCCAGCAAGTCGAGGCTGCGGTGGCCGGGAGCGGCCACTGCACTCCAGTCTGGGCGACAGAGTGAGACTCCAACTAAAAAAAATAAATAAATAAATAAAAATAAATAAAAATAAATTCTGCCTGTAAGGGTAAGGGTCCTGTCTGTTTCCTGCCTGGCTAGTAGCTCTCTGGAACCATGTCGGGCGGGGGTGGGTCTCTCTTATGGGGGCAGGTAGATGTGGGATGTTCAGGACAGAAGTGCTCTCAAGGCCAGTGCGGCCTGATGTGCACTTTTTCCATAAGGGAATCAATCAGGTTCCACAGAGAGTTAATGACGAACTCTGGTCTATCACCCTGGATCTAGGGGGTGTGGAGGCTTTCTCCTAGTGGCCTAGCCTCTCCCTGACCCATGTACCTGCTAACTTTTCCCACCTGTCTGGGAGATCCAGGAAATGGGAGAGGGTCCCCATGGGTGGTGCTTCCCCTGCAGAGAGAGCGGGACCTGAATACGGTGGCTCACATCGGCCAGTCCCTGGTGAAACAGAACAGCATTCTGATGGAGCAGAATAGCAATCTGGAAGCCATGCTGGGCTCAGCCAGGGAGGAGGTAACAGGGTTTGGGCCGGGAGGAGGTGGGGGTCAGTGTGCATTCCCCCTCATGCTGGACCCGCTTTGCCGCTGCCACTCCCCGAGCCCTCTCTCATTCTGCAGATTCTGCACCTGAGACACCAAATGAACCTTCGTGATGACCTACTACAGCTCTACTCAGACTCTGAGGACGAAGAAGAGGAGGAGGAGGAGGAGGAAGAGGAAGAAGAGGAGGAGGAGGAAGAGGAGCCCGAGGAGGAGCAGGAAAACGATTGTCCCCACAACGCCCCCGAGCCGTGAGTGTCCTGCCTTGGCACCTGGTGGGCCCGTCTCCATCAGGGACTCAGGCCACAGGTGGGCTGGGAACTGGAGCCTCACTCCCTGCACCCTGACTCCCCTCATTCCCCCCCCAGGACCCCTCAGAAAGAGTCCCTGCGCCAGCACCACTGCCCGCAGCTGAAAGCCCTGCAGGAGAGGCTGAGGCAGCTGCAGGAGGAAAACCAGCAGCTGAGAGAGAAGGTAAGGATGGGGGAGGGGGCTGTGCCTGCCAGCAGGGAGAGTTGACTCCCCTGCCCCCTCCTCTCCCTCCCTCCAGGCCTCCGAGCTCAACACCCTTGAGGATGAGGAGCAGATGCTCATTCTGGAATGTGTGGAACAGTTTTGTACGTAATGCTGTAATTTGGGGTCGGGGGCTGTCCCGAGGAGTAGAGGGAAGGACTCAGGATTCAGAGTCTGGAGATCCGAGTTCAAGTCCCAGCTCTGGCACTTCCTTGCTGTGTAAGCTTGGATGAGTTCCTTAACTTCTCTGAACCTTCAGAATGGAGATTAAAAACCTCAGCCCCACTGATCTCTCCAGGGTTTATGAGGATCAAGAGAGGCAGCAGTTGAGGAAGTGCCTTTTGCAAACTGTGAAGAGCTGTACAGAAGCCAGGAGTCCCCTCTAGGCCTGTGTCCTGTTATCTGGGGCAGGCAGGAGGGGGCCACCAGCTGCCAGATACCAGGCTCCCAGGGCTGGACAGTTCAGAGTCATGTGCTGGGCAGTAGCAGTTCCTGGTACCGTCCTAGGCACGGTATGTGGATGAGGATGAGTAAGGCACAGTGTTTTTCCCTTAGGCTTTCTTTTTTTTTTGAGTTGGAGTCTCACTCTGTCGCCCAGACTGGAGTGCAGTGGCCGCTCCTGGCCGCTGCAGCCTTGACCTGCTGGGCTCGGGCGATCCTTCTGCCTCAGCCTTCCGAGTAGCCAGAATTACAGGCATGCGCTACCATGCCCAGCTGATTTTCTTATTTGTTGTAGAGATGAGGTCTCACTGAGTTGCCCAGGTGGGTCTCGAACCTGCGGGCTCAGGCAGTCCACTCCCCTCAGCCTCCCAAAGTGTGGGATTACAGGCTGAGCCACTGAGCTTGGCTTGTCCCTTAGGCTTTCAAGTTTAACAGGTGAGACGGAGACTCAGAGTGACAGCAGCTGAATCCAAGCTGTTCCTTTCACCCCAGACCTGACCTTCCTCCCCTTGGGGGGCCCTGCAGCTCCTTGAGTGGCCCCGGTGGTCGCCAAGCCACCAAAGTAGGAACCAGCCCTCAAGCCTCCTGGGAATGGCTCAAGTCTTTTTCCTTCTCCCCACTCCGGCTGCCTCTAGCCCGGGACACCTCTTTTATTTTATTTTATTTTTTTGAGTCGGACTCTCACTCTGTTGCCTAGGCTGGAGTGCAGTGGCACACTCGTGGCCACCGCAGCCTCCACTTACTGAGCTCACGTGATCCTTCTGCCTCAGCCTTCCAAGTAGCTTGAACTACAGGCATATGCCACCGTGCCAGGCTAATTTTTGGTTTACTATAGAGACATGGTCTCACCAAGTGGCCCAGGCTGGTCTCAACCCCCTGGGCTCAGGTAATCCTCTCTCCTCAGCCTCCCAAAGTGCTGGGACTACAGGTTTGAGTCACCAAGCCTGGCCTCAGGATACCTCTTAACCAGTCTTGCTGCCCCTATGCCTGCCCTTCTAGGCCCTTCTGCACACAGCAAAATGAGCTTTCTAAAACCAAATCTGGCAGGATGCAGGGGTGTGCACCTGTAGTCCCAGCTACTCAGGAGACTGAGGCAGGAGGATCACTTGAACCCTGAACTTCTATTCTGTAGTGCGTTGTGCTGATTGGGGTGTCTACACCAAGTTTGGTATCAACCTGGTGACCTCCCAGGAGCAGGGGACCAGCAGGTTGCCCTAAGGAGGGGTGAACCTGCCCAGGTCAGAAACGGAGCTGGTCAAAATCCCTGTGCTGATCAGTAGTGGGATTATACCTGTGAACAGCCACTACACTCCAGCCTGGGCAACATAGTGAGACTTCCATCTCTCTCTCTCTCTCTCTCTCTCTCTCTCTGTCTCTCTTTTTTAATGAGAAAGCACGACTTCATTTAGAAGACAAAAAAGCTCCCAAGCAGGAGGGGTCCCAAAAGAGGGTTGTCGACCCCATCTCTTTAAATAAATATAGTAGAACCAAACCTGACTGTGTCACTCCTCTGCCTAAAACTGCATTGGGAGGCGGAGCACAGTGACTCATAATCAGTGCCTGTAATCCCAGCACTCTGGGATGCTGAGGCATGAGGATCACTTGAACCCAGGAGTTCGAGACCAGCCTGGGCCACAGTGAGACCTCGTCTCTAAAACCAAACCAAACAAAACAAAAAAAACAATTGCACTTGGACCCCCTAAATCTATAAAAATTAAAAAATAAAATTGGCTGGTTGTAGTGGCCTAAGCCTGTAATCCAAGCACTTTGGAAGGCCAAGGTGAGAGGATTGCCTGAGCCCAGGGGTTCGAGAACAGACTGGGCAACTTGGTGAGACCTTGTCTCTACAATAAATCAAGAAAAATTAGCCAGCCATGGTGGCACACGCCTGTAGTTTCAGCTTCTTGGAAGACCGAGGCAGAAGGATCACCTGAGCCTAGTAGATCGAGGCTGTGGTGGCCATGAGTGTGCCACTGCACTCTAGCCTGGGTGACAGAGTGAGACTCTGACTTAAAAAAGTGAAAATAAAAATAAAATAGAATTTAAAAAAGAAAGCCCTAGTGAGGAATGTAGAGCTCTGTAGGTCCGCTGGCACTCCCCAGCAGCCGGGGTGTGGGAGCAGACAGAGGCATCTGGGAGGGCCTGGACAGGTCCCCAAAGGCTGGGGAGAGCTAGGGTTGACCTTCTCCCCTCCCCCAGCGGAGGCCAGCCAGCAGATGGCCGAGCTGTCAGAAGTGCTTGTGTTCAGGCTGGAGAACTACGAGCGGCAGCAGAAGGAGGTCACCCAGCTGCAGGCCCAGGTCGTGAGGCTGCAGCAGTGCTGCCAGTCGGTGAGTGGGTTGGGAGGGACCCTTTTTGTGGCCCCGTGGGACGAGGGCCTCCTTCTCCCTGCCCTGCCTTGGGCTCCACCAGGCCCAAGGCCCCTCTCTGTGTCAGAGTTAGAGCTGGGGGAGGCCTCAGAGAGCCTCCTCCTTTTTTTGTTTTTTTTCGAGTTGCAGTCTCACTCTGTCACCCAGGCTGGAGTGCAGTGACACGCTCACGACCACTGCAGCCTCCACCTGCTGGGTTCAGGCTATCCTTCTGCCTCAGCCTTCCAAGTAGCTGGAACAACAGGTGTGTACTACCATACCTGGCTTAATTTTTTGATTTATTGTAGAGATGAGGTCTCGCTATGTTGCCCAGAATCTCTGGGCTCAGGCAGTCCTCTCGCCTCAGCCTCCCGAAGTGCTGGGATGACAGGCGTGAACTATTGTGCCCGGCCTTCAGAGAGCCCTTTATTCTTCCCCATTGTTGTTCCAAGGAGGGGGCCAGGGCCCAGAGAGAGTCCCAGAGTGTTCTAGGACCCAGGCTGCATGACTCCCCTCCCTGCTGTGCCCTCATTCCCTGTGACGCCTTGCCTCATGGGCTGCCAAAGACTCACTGATGTGTCTAGGAAGACTTGCTGGAAGTGGGAGTGCCTGGGAGCGGGGAGGCCTCAGGTAGGCTCACTGCCTTTGGGTCCTTCCAGTATGGGGCAGAGACTGAGAAGTTGCAGCAGCAGCTGGCTTCGGAGAAGGGAATCCACATGCAGCTCCGAGAAGAGGTGAGCCTCCTCCTGGGCTGCTGCTCTGCCCTCCAGAGCCCCTGGCTCAGAGCTGGGGCCTCAGGCCCTTGGCAGCCACCTAGCTCTCCAGAGGGACAAGCAGGGGCTGGGCCTGGTTGCTTTCCACTCCATCTGTGCTGGCACGGCACAGCAGGTGGCAATTTGGTGGAGGTCTGAGTAAACTGGAGTCCACGGACCTGCCCGGGGTTGCCCTGCATGACGTTCTTTGGGTCTAGAACCTGGGCTTCTGGCCTCTTAGCCCAGAGAGAGGATAGGCAGGCGTGCTGGGCTGTGTGCCCCAGTCCCAATAGAGCCTGGGGTGGGTTCCCAGCTGCAGGACCTGCGGGAGAAGTATGCAGACTGTGGGGGCATGCTGACTGACACGCTGCAGGAGGCCAAGACCCTTTGCCAGCAACCCCTGGTGTCCACTGGGTCTGTCACACACTGCGCGTACCGCGTGCCTCCGGTGAGGAAGCTGCCCTGCCTGTCTGCCTTTTGCCTCTGCCCTGTGTCTCAGCCTTCTGCCCTGTGTCTCAGCTCTGGTGGCTGATCGATATTCTCCATCCCCTTCTGTGCCTGAGACCACGGGTGGGAGTCCTGTGGGGGTCCCCTGGTCACGTCCCATCTCGCCACTAGGAGGCCCTTCCTGGTTTCCAGGAGAGCCTCAGGACATCTCTCAGGAGGATCATCTCAGACCCTGTGCATTTTATGGACAGGTGCGTTAATGGGGGCGGAGGGTTCTTGCCCACAGTGGGGAGGGGCTTGCTTGCACCTCGCCCTCCCACAGTTCCGGGCACCCACCTCGCTCCCAGCTCTGGCCCCGCCACTTCCCATGCTTCTCGAGTAACTTGGCCTTGGGTCCATCCTTTCTCCTGAGATCCTGCACGCCTGGGCCCCAGGGACTTTGCAGTTTTAGCTTTCCTTGTCTCTGTATATCTTTCTCTGTTGAAGGAATTACAGTGTGCCCAGAGGGAAGGTGTCCCGCCTGAGGTAAGCTGGCCAGGGCTTTCCTTCATTGGCTCTCACTTTCACAACCAGACAACCACCTGCTGCAGTTGTGACACCTCACAACCCTGCAGAAGGCCTCGCTCTCTGAGCCCGTAGGGCTGAGAGCTGTTCTGGAAAGGAGCTGCCCCCTTTTCCTCCGAATCTCACCCCCTAGGTGGCTGTCTGCAGGTAGCTCCGAGGGGGACTGAAGCTTTCCTTTCAGGGCTCAGAGGCAAATGAGCACTGGCCTAGGAACTGGGAACGTCTGGCAATGTGTCCCAGTTCGGTCCCTTTACGGGCTGTGTTTTGGGGCAAGTCATTTGACCCATCTAAGCCTTACTCAAACAGATTTGTTTCCATGGCAACCTGCTATGGCATGAGTGGTGAAGGTTAAATCTTGCAGGAGGGAGGCAGAGGGGCACTATCCCTGCTGGTCTCCTCCGGGTAGCAGATTGGGGGATGTAGGGAAGGGCAGGGGTCCATGCGGTGTTGGTGACCATTTTTCCTCCCTCCCACTGGGGCGTGGGCTGGGTGCTTGAAGGCTTAGAGCTGGTACCCAGCTCCCCTCTCCCCTGGCAGGGACCACGGGGTCTGTGTGCAGCCTGGGGTGGGGGTAGGCCTGGTGGTCTGACTCTCCTCCTCAGCTTTCTCTGGCAGGAGACGTCCTAGGGGAGCAGAAGAGGGTGGCCTGGCTGGGGTTGGCTTGCAGGGGGATGGAGAGATGCCACTGTCTCCCTGCCCAGATACGATCTTTGCTACAGCCACGAGCGAGGACAGGAACAGGGGTTCGAGGCCAAGGAGGTGCCCCTGCTGGCAGAGGACATTGTGCCGGAGGACGATTTTGTGACTGCAGAGGACCTGGTGTCCCAGGAGGAGCTGGGGGCCCCCGAAGAGGTGCTGGCTGAGGAGGAGGTGATAGAGGAGGTGGAGCTGGTGTCGGAGGAGGCCTGGGAAGAGGTGGAGCCGGAGCTGGATGAGGCAGCGCAGATGAACGTGGTGACCTCGGCCCTGGAGGCCAGTGGCCAGGGGCCTTCACACCTGGACATGAAGTACGTCCTCCAGCAGCTGGCTATCTGGCAGGATGCCCATTACAGGCAGCAGCTGAGGCAGAAGATGCCCCCGAAAGGTGAGTGCTCCCGTGGGGGCCTCGTTCCGGCCAGCCAGACAAGCTGCAGATCGTCTAGTCGATGAAAGGCGAGGGGAGGTGAGCCCCCCAGCGCTCACTAGCCCCAGCCCCGCCCAGCATGCTGATTTGCATGGGCTTTGCATACAATTTGCATAGACACCTCCCTCTAGCGCAGCCGTGGCCCCAAGTGCTTTTATGGAATTTGTTTAGGATTCCGGATGTCTACCCACTTTCTTCATGGGGCCTGGGCTGGGGGCCACTGTATGCCTCTCACTGTGCCTCAGCTTCCTGTCTCTGCCGGCCCTCTTTTCCTACCCTCCACTCCTACCTCCCCTGTCCCCCGGGATCGCCCATCCAGCAGCAGTGGTGGCAGCAGACCCAAACAAACATGGAGGGGGTGGGATCACAGCAGCAGCCTGGAGGCTGGAGGAGGATAGTGCCAATCCCCCTCCCAGGGTCTAGGAGGAAGGGGGGCCTTCTGGGGTCATCCTGGCCACTGGGACAAAGGCCTCAGACAGCGAGGGCCATAGTTGGACCCTCACTGCAGGGTGAGGGGGTGGATCCAGGCTTCCTCTCCCCAGCTAGAAACCCAGAATTTGAGGACTGTACCTGCCGAGGGCAGGCCTCGTGAGCCCCGCCTTTAAGGAGTTACAGTGACGTCAAAGATGACGTGGTGATGCCGTGCACGCTGGATCCCTTGCACGTGTGCCAGCTCTTTGAGTTCTCACACCCCTGTTCTGTTCTCCATGTGTTAAGTGAGTAAACGGTGGTTGAGAGAGCCACAGTGACTTGTCTAAGGTCACACAGTGAGGAGTGGATCTCTGCCTGCTTTTTATTTTTTTTTTTGTGACTTGGGGTCTCACTCTGTCAGACTGGAGTGCAGTGGCTGCTCCCGGCCACCACAGCCTCGACTTGCTGGGCTCCGGCGATCCTTCCGTCTCAACCTTCCAAGTAGCTGGAACTACAGGCGCGCGCTACCATGCCCGGCTAATTTTTTAATTTATTGTAGAGATGAGGTCTCGCTAAGTTGCCCAGGCAGGTCTCGAACCCACGGGCTCAGGCAATCCACTCACCTCGGCCTCCCAAAGCACAGTATTACAGGCTGAGCCACCGGGCCCGGCTGTCAGTCTGCTTTTTTTTTGCTGTGCCTTCTCTGGCCCATCCCTCCCTCTGAGACTGTCCTGGTGCTCTATCTGGTCTGCTAGGTCAGCCCTGAAGTTGATAACGTGTTGGCAGCCTCCGTTATAGCTGACCTGTCCCCATTCTTCTGGCCATTTGGTCACCACTGGGTGGAATAGCACTGGCCTCAGCAGGGCCGCTGTGTAAGGTTGTGTAGGCTGTAAACTGAACCGTGGCCTCTGTGGTTCACACAGTGGGCAGCCTGTCTGTGGTGACTGTCTCCTGATACAGCTGACCAGACCCCAAGCCAGGCCTGTGGTTGCCAGGAGCCCAGTTCACGTCCACCTCTTCTCTTCCAGGCTTTGCTGTTTCCCAGCAGCCTATGAGGGCTCCATAGACAGCTTGAGGGCCCCCTTCCGCCTGGCCAAACCCCACCCACCCCAGACCCTCCTTCCCACCCCCTGAAATGGGACCCCATGCCTGTCAGACCTGCCCATCCTCTGTCCTGACGACCCTGGACCGGAGCTTGAGGGCCCAGGCCTTGACTCTCTCCTGGGACAGGCCAGAGGAACCCCGGCCCTTGTTCTGCAGTGGGTGCAGAAGCTGTGGCTGCTGGGTGTGGGTCACATAGTGACCCAGGGGATGGAAGAAGCCCCCGGGGGAGCGCATTTGTTACCAGCTCTGAGAGAGGGGGCATGACTGAGCCGGGGGCTGGGGTCCAGGTGTAGGAAGCTGTTGTGAGAACCCTCCTGCAACATGTCCTCACCTCTTTGACCCCCACATTAAAGGTGGCCAGGCCGTGCTGACTTGGGGACCAGGCCTTCCTCCTCTTCTCTGTCCTCTCTTCTCAGTTGCTGTTCCTGTTTGGAACCACAAGTGTCTGTGTGTGGGTTGGGGAGGGTCCCTCTGCTCGATGATGTGTCGCCCTCTCCTCGCTCCCCACCATGGCTGGGGAGTGTCTGGGCTCCCATCCAAGGCCCAGCCCCTCCCTCCCGCTGACCTCTGTGGCATCCGTTGTTCCCTGCTTCTAGATCTTTCTCCCTTCCCCTCTCTTTGTTTATCAATAGCTGGGGCCCGAGGCCCAGGCCTCCCTGTTCTGCCAACCCCACTCCCGCCAGGTGCTTCAGTCTCCTATAGCTTGTCAGCCTGTGTACGTGCTGGTGTGAGAAATAAAGGATCTGTGTACAAATGTGGCCCAGTCTCCGCTATCTTTCTCAGGGAGCCTGTGTGTGTGTGTGTGTGTGCACGCGAGCACACTTGGCAGGGGCAGAGTTGTAGAGAAAGGTCGAGCTGTGATATTGCATGATGTGCCAAAGACTTGTATCAAGTATACTGTTCAATCACATCACCAACCCCTTGGCCAGATGGCAGTGGCTCACACTGTAGTCCCAGCTACGCGGGAGCCTAAGACGGGAGGATCACTTGAGGCCAGGAGTTAGAGGCCAGCTTTGGCAACATAGCAGGTGAGACTTTGTCTCTCAAACAAATAAATAGGACGAGTGCAGTGGTCATGCCTGTAATCCCAGCCAGCACTTTGGGAGGCTGAGGCAGGAGAATTGCTTGAATCCAGGAATTTGAGAATAACTGGGCAACACAGTGAGACCTTGTCTCTGCAGAAACCCCCCCCCCCAAAAAAGCTGGGATTTCAGCATGGTGGCACATGCTGAAATCCCAGCTACTCAGGAAGCAAAGGCAGAAGGATCGCCTGAGCCCAGGAGGTCGAGGCTGCAGTGAGCCATGATTGTTCTACTGTGCTCCAGCCTGGGCAACAGAGTGTGACGCTGACTCAAAAAAATAAAACAAAATGATGACAAATTTAAAAAAAAAGTTAAAAACAAAAACTACCCCTGTGGTGTAGTGGGTGATATTATCAGTGTTCATCAAATGGTGAGACTGAGGCCCAGGTAGATGAAATGACTCTCCCAAGGGTCTAAAAGCTGACATGGATCTGGGATTCGAACCCAAGTCCCTGAAGTCCATGCTTGGGCAGGCTCCTTTCTGTCCCAGGGACTCTGAGCTGGTGCTCTGGCTGTGAAGGGCAAAGTGAGACTGAGAGTCACCCACCGTCTTAGGGTGAGGTCCGCCAGAAGGGAATCTGAAAGGGTGTGAGGGTAAGTACAGTCAACCCTTTGGAGCTCTGGGTTCTGTGTCCATGAATTCAGACAGCCACAGATAAAAGATATTTGGGGAAAAAACCAAACAATAGAAAACAAAACAAGCCAGGCACGGTGGCTCACCCCTGTCATCCCAGCACTTTGGGAGTTGGAGGCAAGAGGATTGCTTGAGCCCACGGGGGTTTGAGACAAGCCTGGGCAACATGGTGAGACCTCATCTCTACAATAAATAAAAAAAATTAGCCAGATGGCTGAGGCGGAAGGATCACCTGAGTCCAGAAGGTCAAGGTTGCGGAGGCTGTGAGCGTGTGCCACTGCCCTTCGCCTGGGTGACAGAGTGAGACTCTGCCCCTCCCCCCAAAATACAAATAAACAATACAGCATAAAAGCTATTTATATAGTGTTGATATTGTATTAAGTATTGTAAGTAATCTAGAGGTGGTTTAAAGTGTATGTGAGGGTGTACCTAGGTCATATGCCAACATGACACCATTTTATATCAGGGACTTGAACATCCGCGAGATTTGTTGTCTGAGGGATGCTCTGGGCCCTCTCCCCTGTGCATGCTGAAAGATGACTGTAGGTCATTTGGAAGATGAACCTAGGAAGCTCTTGGAGATGGAGGGCGGGAGTGAGAATTGAAGGACTCCCGTGAAAGAATTTTAGGCAATGGAGGCTTGATCCCACTAGGGAGCTCTAGGAGAAGGGGTCATCCTTGACAATTCGAGGTGTGGTGTGTGGACCAGCATCCTTAATATCTTCCAGAAGCTCATCAGAAGTGCAGAATCAGGCTGGGTGTGGGGGCTCATGCCCGTCATCCCAGCACTTTGGGAGGCGGAAGCGAGAGGACTGCCTGATCCAAAGGGTTTGAGACCAGCCTGGGCAACTTGGTGAGACTGTGTCTCTACGATAAATCCAAAAAGTTAGCTGGGCATGGTGGTGCATGCCTGTAGTTCCAGCTACTTGGAAGACTGAGGCAGAAAGACCGCCTGAGCCAGCAGGTCGAGGCTGCGGTAGCCGGGAGCGTGTCACTGCATTCCAGCCTGGGCAACTGAGTGAGACTCTGACTCAAAAACAAAACAGCAACAACAACAAAAACGAGTGGGGAATCTCAGGTCCCATCCACGCTAGAGCCTCAGAATCTGCATGTGAATATGAATACGGTGCCCAGGTGATTCACGTGCATTTTCAAATTTGAGACACACTCATAGACAATCCATCTCAGTTATCCCCTGAGGGCGGGAAGCTGGGGTGTGCATCCTCTGACTCCCATCTCGCTGGTGGGGGCTGCTCCCACGGCATCGACTCGCTGGTACATCGGCCACGCGTGGGCAGAGAAGTCCCCGGGGCAGAGAGCGGCTGAGGTGTGTAGCAGGACACGGTCGGCATCACGGCAAAGGTGAGTGCCGAGGCTGTGGGCCGGCACCCGTGGGGCAGTTGGGTCCTTGTGCCAATCAGTGAACTCTAGCGCCACCTGGAGTTCACGTGGGAAAAAGACAGGTGGAGCGCGAGGGGCCCAAGCTGCCGTTCTCACCGCTGCAGTTGGCCCTGAACCCTCAGTGGCGCTTCCTATCTCCACGGTGACCTAGACTTTCCTTCCTGAGAGGTCTGAAACCTCGGTTTCCACGCCCTCATCTGGTCACGGTGGCTGCCACGGCCCGTCTCTGCTTATCACGAGGCAGGAAGCACCCAGAGGCACCCAGAATTCTCCTGAGTTCCAGACACAGTTCTTGTCCACTCCCGTTGTGAGGCTACAAGCTTAGTTCAAGATAAGCAGGTCAGTGACCCTGATGGCGACTGAACTCTCTGCCTGCTAGTCTGCCAGCAGGAAGAGCCAAAAACGACAAGGTGGCCACTGTACCTTCAGGACGGGGGAATCTTGACTATTCCCTGGTAGAGGCGGCTCTGGATGCCCTGGAAACCAGGATTTCTAGTCTAAAATTGTGCATGCAGGGAACACAGATTTCTGAGGTG